GCAGCATTCAAGAAACAAGCTTCCCTAAAGGGTTGAACCTACTGAACTCAAGACTCAACAGCCAAATTCAATTTTCAGAAAATACAGAGGATAGAGGAACACGTTAAATGACATGACAGTAGCCACATCCAGAATGTTGGGTTATTTCTACTGGATGACTGACACAATTTCTGCAACAAGAAAAAAAAAAGAAGTCTATACCAGCTTACAAGACACCAAAAGAAACAACACAACCAAATGCGATGAATGTGTGGACTTAGCTTGAATCTGTATTTTCACGATCAATCATCAAAATGCACTTTAGGGGCAATGAGGGAAACATTACCACGGACTAGTTATTACATAATGTCACAGGATACTTGTTAATTTTGCTAGGTGTGATAATATCAACGTGGCTATGTAAGAATATGTTTTTTTTTTTTTTAAGAGATGCACAGTGAAACATATAGGAGTGAGATAATATCAATAGAATATCTGGAATTCACTTTTAAATAGTTCAGCAAATGAAAAAGAAAAAAGCTATGTGATCAAATGTGGAAACATTTTGATAAATTGTTGAATATAAGTAACAGGTAAGTGGGATATATTTTAAAATAGTCATAACAAACTTTTTTTTTTTTTTTTACGGTACGCGGGCCTCTCACTGTTGTGGCCTCTCCCGTTGCGGAGCACAGGCTCCGGATGCGCAGGCTCAGCGGCCATGGCTCACGGGCCCAACCGCTCCGCGGCACGTGGGATCTTCCCGGACCGGGGCACGAACCCGTGTCCCCTGCATCGGCAGGCGGACTCTCAACCACTGCACCACCAAGGAAGCCCCATAACAAACTTTTAAAAAATTGTATCAAAAAAAGATTGATATATACCTCTCCATTATCAAAAATAAATAAAAATGGGGAACTTCCCTGGTGGTCCATTGGTTAAGAATCCGCCTTCCAGGGCTTCCCTGGTGGCGCAGTGGTTGAGAGTCCGCCTGCCGATGCAGGGGACACGGGTTCGTGCCCCGGTCCGGGAGGATCCCACATGCCGCGGAGTGGCTAGGCCCGTGAGCCATGGCCGCTGAGTCTGCGCGTCCGGAGCTTATGCTCCACAACGGGAGGGGCCACGGAAGTGAGAGGCCCGCGTACAGCAAAAAGGACAAAAAAAAAAAAAAAAAAGAATCCGCCTTCCAATGCAGGGGACACCGGTTCAAACCTTGGTCAGGGAACTAAGATGCCACATGCCGCAGGGCAACTAAGCCCGCGCGCCACAACTACTGATCCCACGCGCTCTGGAGCCTGCATGCCACAATTAGAGAGAAGCCCACACGCTGCAACTAAGACCCAATGCAGCCAAATAAATAAATAAATATTTAAAATATAAATAACTAAAAGTAATTTTTAAAACTATTTGCAGGCTTTAAATACAAATACATTGTTCATAGTATTTTATACAATCCTCTGAAGTTCGTGGCCTCAACAGGAGTCTGTACCTTTCACCACCTAATTCCACTCTTTGTAAATATACCACAAGAAAATAACAGATAGGGAAAAATAATTTACCCAAAAGTTTTCATGTAGCTTTACTATAAGAGAAAATTTGGAGACTAAATATAAAATACAGGAGAATATGAAGTTAATTATTTTGTATCAATATAATGAAAAACCTTAAACCTATCAAAGGTGACAAGAATTTGAGCTACGTAAATACATGAAACTAAGTACACACTGGCATAGATTAGAAGAAATTTCAAGTATCAATTAAGACTCTTTCACAGTTGGAAGTGACAGAAAAGCCAACCCAAACTGGCTTAAAGCAAAAAGGAAATCAATTAGCTGGCAGAAATGAAAACTTTAAAAGACAAAGGGGACTTCCTTGGTGGCACAGTGGATAAGACTCCACACTCCCAATGCAGGACGCCCAGCTTCAATCCCTGGTCAGGGAACTAGATCCCACATGCATGCCGCAACTAAGAGTTCGTATGCCATGACTCAGGAGCCCGCAAGTTGCAACTAAGGAGCTCTCCTGCTCAAATAAGACCCAGAGCAACCAAATAAATAAATAAATAGTATAAAAGAATAAAATAAAAGACACAAAAATCACCTTGACGGATCATAGATATAATGAAAACAGTAAAAACTTTTAGAAGAAAACAAGGAGAAAAATCTAAGGGACCCTGGAATTGGTTTTGAATTTTTAGATACAACATCAAAAGCACAATCCATGAAAGAAAAAATTGATTCCTTGTGCTTTACTAAAACTAAAAACTTGTGCTCTATCAAAGACTATGTTAAGAAAATGAAACGACAAACCACAGACCAGGAGAAAATATTTGCAAAACACTTATCTGATAAAGGACTTGTATCTAAAATATATACAGAACTGTTAAAACTCAACAATAAGAAAAAAATTATAAAATAGGCAAACATTGTGAACAGACATCTCATCAAAGAAGATATACAGATGGCAAATAAGTATATGATCATTGGTCATTAGGGAATTAAAACAACAGTGAGATGTAATTACATCCAGTTAGACTGGCTACAGGTAAAAAATAAGAAACACCAAATGCTGACAAGGGTGCAAAGCAACAGGGATTCTCGCTCTCTGCTTGCTGGTGGGAACACAAAGTGGTGCAGCTGCTCTGGAAGACAGTGTGGCAGTTTCTTACAAAGCTAAACGTAGTCTCACCACGTGATCCAGCAATCCCATTGCTAAGTAAGTGTTTACCAAATTGAGCTGAAAACATACCCGTGCAAAAGCCTTACAGAAGTGTTTTTTTTCAGAATTGCCAAAAACCGCAAGACACTAAGATGATTAGGTAAACAGTTATGATCCAACCATACGATGGAAGGTTATTCAGTGATAAAATAAATGAGCACTCCAAGCCATGAAACGACATGGAGGAACCCTCAGTGCCTACTGACAAGTGAAAGAAGCCAGTCCGCAAAGGCAGCACACTGTGTGGTTCCAGCTCTAGGACGTTCAGGAAAACGCACAACTATGGAGACAGTAAGAGATCAGTGGTGCCAGGGTCTCAGGGAGAGAAAAGTGGGGAGTGTGTAGGTGAAGCACAGGGACATTTAGAAGGGTGAACCTGTTCTGTATGATACTGTCATGTGGGTACACGGCCTTACCAAGTTGTCGAAGCCTGTAGACTTCACAACACAAAGAGGAAACCCTGATGTATACAATTTCAAAAAATCATTTAGGGAACTTATCTAGGAAACAGACTCACAGACATAGAGAACAGACTGGTGGCTGCCAAGGGGGTGGGGGGATAGGGGAGGAATGGACTGGGAGTGTGGGGTTAGCAGGTGCAAACTATTACATACAGGATGGGTCAACAACAAGGACCTACCGTATAGCACAGGGAACTATATTCAATACCCTGTGGTGAACCATAATGGAAAAGAATATATATGCATATGTATAACTGAATCACTTTGCTGTAAAGCAAAAATCAACACAACATTGTAGATCAGCTACACTTCAATAAAATAAATTTTAAAAAAATCATTTAGGAGTTTAGGGAGCTCCAGGACAATTCAGGCAGTGACAGGAGAATCTAACTGCATTACAGGTGTATGAAGCGGCCTCACTGGAGGGGCTGGGGAAAGGTCCCGACCCAAGTAACTTTGGAAACCAGCAGAGCCTGTAAGCCCAAGGGCAAGAGAACGTCAAGGAAGCACCATACTCTGGTTGATAAGGTTTTCTCCCCTGGAGAACTGGTTAACAATTCTGATACGTGTATATACATGTACTGAAAATTAACAATTAAGTGAATGGATGGCAACGAGTGGGAGCCAGGCTTCTCATGATTGGAGGGGGAATTTACAGATAAGCAAGCGGCATGCTTAAAAATAGGCTTGTGATTTTAAAATATAAAGGAAATAAGATTAAACGTGGTTTATCTCTTACAGACATCACAATTAGTCGTATTCTATTTAACTACACTTTTTTTTTTTTCTTTGCGGTAGGCGGGCCTCTCTCTGTTGTGGCCTCTCCCGTCGCGGAGCACAGGCTCCGGACGCGCAGGCCCAGTGGCCATGGCTCACGGGCCCAGCCGCTCCGCGGCATGTGGGATCCTCCCGGACCGGGGCACAAACCCGTGTCCCCTGCATCGGCAGGCGGACTCTCAACCACTGCGCCACCAGGGAAGCCCTAGCCACACTTTTTTAACTGAAGTACAGTTGATTTACAATGTTGTGTTAGTTTCAGATATACAGCAAAGGGATTCAGTTACACACACATAATTGCACACACACACACCACTCAAATCACTTAAAGCAAAGCTGAAGGAACAAGATGCCAGCCGACAACTTTACTGAGCTTACTACACGTCCTGCTCAAATTTTTATCAACCAAATATGTCAAAGTTTATAAAAATGCAAGAAACTTAAATCAGTATTAATGAAAATTTGAGCACAAGTATACTTTTTATCAACATCGGAGCAGCCCCCATTACACAAAACATAAACTTTATGATACAAAAATATTCCTTTGTGGAAGTTAGCTCAGATGTCGTGAGAACGGGAACAGCTGTTCATGGCAGCCTGGTGTCGACGCCCAGACTGAGTGCATAAGAGTAGCAGAATCGTGTAAAATAAACATGCGTTTCTTTCGTTCTCATGTCCATTGTCATGTGAGCATCATATAGGTGAGGGGTAAAGAAAGCTTAACTCTCCTTGTGAAATATACTCAAAAGCCCTTTACCTGTAAAAACCATCCGCCTCCCCACTGTGGTCGATACTGGCTCTTGAAAGGATACACCTGCCATGGTTGTAGCTGTGCTACTGGATTTTCTTTCTCAGCTTCCTCACACCAGTTTATCTGCACCAGAAACAGCCAAAGACTTTTCTGTCTCTCCTCTCCCTGTCTGTGACCCGAACTAGGTGGTTGCTAGGGACTCTTTATGACAGGAATGCAGGGTGTTCCTTCTAACAGCTCAGTGTTCCAGCCTCCAGGAACAGACAAGACACAGCTGTAGCATCCCCAGGATCGGCATCCAGTCTTTTCCTTACCTGTCAACATCGAGTCCAGAAGAGACCTGTTCAGGTTCTAGATGTAGAGCAGCCTTACGTCCCCAAAGACCTGGCAGCCTCAGTCAACACTGTCTTCCAACATATCCCAAGGAATGTTCTGCAGAGGGCTGTCACTGCACAAACCGAACAAACAAAAATCACAAACCACGGTTAGAGGCATTTGAGAAGCCCTGGCTAGATAAAAGGCAATTAGAAATTATATTTTAAATGAATAAGATCATTGTTTATGCATTTTTCCCAGCCCCGTATTTCAACACGTCCTTAAACACAATCTGTGCCTCGGTCATATTAATCTATCTGTGGTTCCCATCATGTGTGATGCTCTTTCGTTCCTCTGAGCCTTTACCCATTCATTTGCTCTTCCGATAATGTTCTTATGTGAATATTTCTGTCCTCTGAGAGTCAGAGCCCGTGCCTCCTCTCCCAGGAGGATGCCTGCAGACACAGCTGACCACTGGCTCCTTCACGCCCCTTTAACTTCTACGGTGTCTTGTTTATACCTACCTGTTAAACTGCTACCACGTTGTTTCAATTGTCTATTCTGTCCGCCTCCCTACTAGAATCTCACTCCCAGTTCAGGGGAAAAGCATCTTTATTCATATTTCAATTTCCAGAGACTGTCATGCAATAGATGCTTAAGGGATGTTTGTGAGATGAACAAATGAACCAACAGCTAATTCCAGCCTGCCCAGAAATATAATATTGGCCACCTGATAATCCATGGAATATAAATTCTAACAGCAATTTTGAATTCAACCTTAATTATATGGAGGTCTTTACTGAAAATGTAATGCCTTTTGTTTGTTGAGAGAAATTACAGTAAAAACACTCTACATTAACTATGAAGAGGGTTGCTAGCCTGGTGGCAAAGGGATATAACCCCCAAGTCCCCCTCCAAGGAAAGACTTGTGCGCCAGCTGCAGGAAATACCATCAGTAGACAGCCTGCAGCTGTCAGCTCCTTCGGGGGCTGCTTTAGCTGCAGCGGGCTGTGTCCCTCTCGTGGTGTCTCTCTCTGAGGCAAGCCCTCTCGGGGCAGCATGGTCAGAAGACTCAGTAAGGTGAGGGGATAAAGTCCAGATGTTTCCACCTGCCATGGGACCATTTTTCACCCGGTGAGCGGAGGCTTTGTTGAGCCCTCACCACAGTTCAGCTTCTTCCTCTGCCCAATCCTGCTTCAGCCTCTTTCTGTTCACAGGCATAGATCCCAAATAACCATCTTGCCCCCCACCAACTTCTGGAGGGCATGACTTGTGGCAGCCAGACAGCACAGATGTGTAACAGGGAAGAACAAACCTGCTTCCGCATCAGGTCTATCCCTGTAGCTCTAAGCCTTGTGCTCTGTTGCCTGTGCTGAGTCCTGCGGGCTCTGCACCTTGTGAAACAATGTTGCCTGTAGCCTGAAATATACAGGAGAGCCTATTCTGAAGGCTCTGACCTTTAAGAGTAAAACACTTTTCCATTCATACAGAGATACAATGTTGCAGAACAGAGAGTAACAGTTGTGAACAAAGGATTCCCGCACCAAGACGTTTCCAACAATCAGCCACGCCCACTCCCATTTTAGTATAAAAGCAGCCTGACTGCTAAGTTGGGGCAGGTGGTTCTTGGGGACACTAGTCCCCCATCGTCTCCGGCTTCCTGAAGAAAATCTCTATTCCTTGCCCCAACACCTTGTGTCTCGATTTCTTGGCCTGTTGTGTGGCGAGCAGTACGACCTTGGACTGGGTAACATGTACAGGCGCAAACGTGTTACACAGGAAGGCTTCTTGTTTTAACCCCTCAACCCTCTAACCAGGAGCTGATTCTACTCCCCCAGCATGGGCAAGTCTACTCGTCTTCTTTGATCTGCCCTGCATGGCAGTCTTCTTTACCTCTGCAGTGTCAGAAGCTTTCCTACCCTTTCTGGGGTTAACCAGTTCTTGTTACTATGGTCGAGGGCTCTCCAGCCCCAGCCTTAGGCTTCTCTCTGAAATGTCCCTATTTGTGTCCTCAGAACTACCACTTTCCAAGTCAGCCAAGTGTGAAACCTCCTAGTGGAAGTCAGGAGCCCGCCTATTTGGTTTCTCACTGCAGTTTTTGTGATGCGGAGAGAGAAGGAAGGAGGAACCTGAGTGACAAAAAGAAATTCTTTAGTAAAATAAGCAGGAAGTAAAGATCTCGCTTTTGGCCGAGGACCTCCCCTTAACCCATCCTGAGGAACGCAGGCTTCCACTTTGCCTCAGAGACTGTTACAAACTTTTCAGTCTGTTGTGGGCTTAGGGTCAGTGATTCTGATGGCAAAAGGCTGGAGGGAAGGGAAAATAGAGGAGAAAAAATCAGAGTTAGTTCTTTGGGAGATCTTTCCACCTACTCAGTACACGTTTAGGTTCATTTGTTTAGTTTTGTTTCATTTTTTAGGGATTAAAAAATTCTTGTGTAATTAAGTAAAATATTTACATGGTTTCAAAGTAAAATTCTTAAAATAAGGGATATTTACAGAAGTCTAGCTTTTATCTTTGTCATCTACATCTTGTTACTTCTTTCTCCTTATAGGAAAACTTGTAAAAACTAAAAGAAAAATATATTTATAATCATATCCTCCCCTTTCTCAGAAAAAGAGTAGCAAACTAAACACGTGTTTTTCCACCTTCCCTTTATTCAACGAGATCTCTATTAATGGTTATATGGGCTGTTTCCAATCTTTTGCTCTTATAAAATGTGCTATAAAATATAGGTTTCTGCAAACATGTTCTCATTTATTTTGCAGTACATCTTTGGGATAGATTCCTAGAAGAGTCATTCCTGGACCAGAGGGTAAGGCATATATACATTAGCTTGATACTGCCAAATTCCCCCCCGCCCCCGCCATAGGGCTGTACCACTTTGTTGTCCAACCAGCAATGTCAGAGAATGCCTATTTCCACATGACCCCACCCACAGAGTATGTTGTCAAACTTCTGGATTTACGACAGGTAAGAACTGGTCAAATAGTAATCGACATTCCTCTCCTATCAGCAAGACGGAACATCCTTTCGTATATTTAGGAGCCATTTGAATGATTTTCTAAGACCTTCTGGTCATCCCTCTTGTGTAATTTACTACCAGGAGCTGAGCTTTGTCTACTTTTACAAGAATGAGCTAACATTCCAAAGAAGGACAACAGACACACCAACAGAGAATCACAGTAAAGTGTCAGAAGGGCAGTGATGGTTACGGGAATACATTTAACACCTAGTTTGTTCCTGGAGACATGGGGACAGAGGGGAGGGTCACCTGCCGTTCCTGGGACAGAGGGCGAGGCTCTTGTCTGAACTGTGTCTCAAAGAATGATGAGGACCCAGGCAAGGGATGGGAGGTTGGGGGATGGTGTGGGCGGAAAGGGCATTTTGGACAAAGAGGACAGCTTGAGCAAACGGCCCAGAGGGGAGACACAGCCCACAGAACTGTACATGGCAGAAAGACAAGTTCAGCATTGCTGACGGTCATGGCTAAGAGGGGAGAGGGGAGAGGAGGCCTAAGGGGCTCGGCCAGGCATGTCAGGAGCAGGGACTCTATTCTGTAGGCATCGGGGACCCCTGAAGGTTCAAACAGGCAGAGACTGGTCAGTGTTGGGTTTAAATGGAAGATGCTTGGCTGGGTGGAGACCGAATTGAGGAGAAGAGCCTGGGGACGGGGGTCCAGGCAAGTACAGGTGAGGCCAAGGCAGAGGTGATGGGAGCAGAGAAGAGATGCATTCGGGAAACACACTGAATCTAGGTGGTAAGGAATCAGGAGGACCCCGGTTATCCAGCCTGGGTGACCGTGAGTAGTAGGGTCACAAAATAAAACACTGGAAACAAGAGAAAGAGAGAAAACCAAGGCCAGTAGGTAAAGCGATGGTGTTAACTCGGTGTGGAGCTGACAGGATAACCAAGCAGTTAAAATGAAGCCCATATTGTCATCAAAAGTTGCGACAGCTTCTGAACTCATTAGAGGGGATTAAAGACGATCTCCTGTGGCCACCAGATGCTCTTCAGTTAGAGAAAATCCCTATTGTTTATGAATCAGCCGCAACCTCCTCTGATGAAGCTCAGGGTTTACTGCTCGGCACAAATGAAACGTTGGCTGTTGTCTTGCTTTGCTAATGTAACAGTCACCTGAGAGTTGAAAACTGCTTCACGGTACAGCTGTGGAGGCCAGTGCCCGGTGCTGAGGCCCTGCAAAAACGCCTGTTCCAGTGTTTGGGAACGCATCCAGCTACACAGTTAATGATGGAAAGTGATACAAACTAGAAACTCCCATGATGCAGCAATGGAACCTATCTCCAGGTGAATATAGGGTCAGTACTTGCTAAAATTAATGCTCAAATACCCTATTACTAGGCACACTTTGCAAACTGGGGAGCTTTGCCACCCCTATACCAGTAAATCTTTCTTTATACTTTTAGGCGCCAAATAATTTTAGGTCCTTTCCCTACATTCCTGTTTTTAGGCAACGATCTGGAAAACTCACGGAATAGAGACACAGACCTGGCTTCAAATCCCAACAGTCTTCTGTGTAACACTGGCAAGTTGATTTTCTGTAAAATGAGAATACTTGTGCCTCCCCCCCATAGGGCAAAGGGAATAACGTATATAAAATGCTTGTCACAATACCTGACACACTATGTAGTATGTATGCAGTAAATATTCTCTGTAATATTAGTCTCATCACCTCCCCCTTACCTTGGCCTCTCCCCGTTCTTCCTTTAGAAAATACATGTGACTAATATACATTTAAAGTGTGACCATCATGGACCTCAAGATTATCATATTAAGTGAAATAAGTCAGACAGAAAAAGACATATCATATGATATCACTTATATGCAGAATCTTAAAAGATGACACAAATGAACTTATTTACAAAACAGAAACAGACTCACAGACATAGAAAACAAACAAAAGGGGATAGTAGGGGTGGGGGGAAGGGGGGAGGGATAAATTAGGAGTTTGGAATTAACAGATACAAACTACTATATATAAAATAGGTAAACAATAAGGACCTATTGTATAGCGCAGGGAACTCTACTCAATATCATGTAATAACCTATAATGGAAAAGAATCTGAAAAAGAATAGATATTATATATATAAATGCATAACTCAATCACTGCT